CTCTATACAGAGACTGATGTGACTGTGGGGGAGGGGACATTAGAGTGTAAGCTCCTCTGTACAGAGACTGATGTGACCGTGGGGGAGGGGGACATTAGAGTGTAAGCTCCTCTGTACAGAGACTGATGTGACTGTGGGGGGGGAGGGGACATTAGAGTGTAAGCTCCTCTGTACAGAGACTGAAGATGTGACTGGCTCAGTGTACTCTGTACAGCGCTGCGGTATAGGTCAGAGCTATAGAAATGTATAATAACATATTTATGTATTACGTCCATTTATTTATTTATTGAGTGTCGGGAGGCGGAACTCTGAGCAACCAATCGGCTTTCTCATCTGTGTCTGGCAGTGCAGCGTGTGAATAATAGGCAGAGTTCTGATTGGACGGGTGTAGAGACAGAGGGAACCTCACGAGCCTGCACTCGGAGCCGGAGAGGTGACACTGGATGTGATCGGTCGGACGTACCTGCAGGCGGTGGCGGCCTGTTGTCTCACCCAGACGAAGAAGCTGAAATTTGCAGCCGCCCCTAAAAGACAAGAAAAGGAATTGGGTGACATTGGAGGCGGAGACAACATTCCGGACCTTGAAAATGGCGTTACGCTCAGATAACAGTCATTGTCTATGAACGATGGCGGCCACAATCCCGTCCCCGGCCGATCCGATGGCTCTGCGGACGGTCCGGACCGGATCGTCTTATGTGTGGACCGGAGTCCATTGTCAGCGTTTCTGCTCCCGGCACTGAACAGGTTAATGGGGCGATTATCAGTCCCGGCACAGAGCCGCTCTCATCCAATCACAAAGGCCATTCAGCTCCGCCCACCCCATGACATCACTCTGAATACACAGGGGGCCCCCCCCACCCTGAATACACAGGGGGCCCCCCCACACTGAATACACGGGGGGCCCCCCACACTGAATACATGGGGGCCCATACTGTGAATACAGAGGGGCCCCACGCCCTGAATACACAAGGACCCCCTGAATGTTCAGAACTTGAATCCTCCCTGCAGACCCCTCACCCTGGAGGCAGCCGGAGCTAAGTGTCATGCAGCCATCACTGGAGTGCATGTAGACAGGAAGTGGCTGCAAAGAGGCTGCAGGAGGATCACAGCACTGAGATGGAACAAAGGTTCTATTGATAGATGAAATGCAGCAACACTGGCCGCATGATTAATGTGCAATGGAGCCTGCAGAGTATCGCACCTCCATGGTCAGTGTGTCACGGGTGCCGTTGCTCTGCAGGCTCTTGCAAAGTCCTCCTTGGGTCGGAAGGTGTGAACCTGCTGGAGGAAGTGCAGCTCAAACAGGAGGAGGGACTGGCGGCTCTGTGCATAGTCCCGCCCCCCTGCAGTGGAAGATGGGAGTTGTAGTCATAGTTCCCGGGCTGGATGAGTGGGCGGAGTCACGCAGAACTCCACTGAATTTAAACAGATTTCTGCAGGAAGAACCCCTCCCCCCCGTGACTGCGTTCCAGGGGAGCTGTGGGTTTTGGGGAGGGTGTACAGGAGTAACAAATGTAGGGACCCTGCACAGCCCACCGTAGACCCCGCACAGCCCACCGCACACCCTGCAGAGCCCACCGCAGACCCCGCACAGCCCACCGCAGACCCTCCCACCATAGACCTCGCACAGCCCACCATAGACCTCGCACAGCCCACCGGAGACCTCGCACAGCCCACACAGCCCAACGTAGACTCCGCGTAGACCTCACACAGCCCACCATAGACCCCGCACAGCCCACCATAGACCTCGCGCAGCCCACCATGAAGCCTGCACAGCTCTCCTGAGACCACGTAAAGCCCACCGGAAACCATGCACAGCTCTCCTCCCCCGTATGATCCCATGTGTGCTGTATCCAAAATGTCCTAAACAGGAAGGGGCAGGGCAAATTTGGATTGAGGGGAGTGCCCGAGTGAAGTCTTGCCTAGGGCAGCACAAAACCAAAATACACCACTGGCCACACCCCTGACTGCGGGAACCCCCCTTACCTGGGTTGAGACCCGGGCTCACCCGGCCGATGTAGAAGTAGATAACGATGGCCACCCCGATATTCACCAAGGCGTAGATCCACTGAATGATGAACATGATGACCACGGTGAGGATGGCCTGCGAGGACAGAAGAGGTGACACGTCATGTATTGAGGAACAGGAAGTGCCCCCTGAATTCCCGGAGACTGGACTCACCCCGATGAAGGACAGCCAGTGGTTGCACAGCTTGCTGTAGAAGGACGCGGACAGACTCTGGATCTCGACCTCGGGGACCTTCTGCTTCGGGCCGGGATCTGCAGGAGGCAAACATCAGTCAATGGAGAGACTTTGAGGTTCGGAGGACGTCTGTCCCGGGCCAAGGACTAGAGACAAACCCCAATCATCACCGAGACAAATGGAACCCCAGACTCAGCAGACCCGCTCCATCAGAACAATATGGGACTTGCCAGATCCCCCAAGAACAGATCTATGAAATAAGAATTGTACTGGACTTCAGCCTTCCTGGTTCAGAACCTCCAGTGAAGGTCCATAGTGCGGAATGTGGACTGGAAATATCTTATGGTTGGTCTACTGCCATCTGCTCATCATACTGGTGACCAGTCTCTTCCTGCACCTGGAAAACACTGGAGTACTGCAGATTCCGAATGATGAGGACATTACCGGCTCCTGTTTGGGTTCCTACGAACACTTGATGGACCCCCTTGCACCATCTGTGTGTACAAACCTCCATGCAGCTCCTCCCTGTGCTCCATCTACTTACCATCTCTCTCCTCGGCTCCTGGCTGATGGACCTCTGTGAAGAGCTGCTCCTGATCTCCGGTCCCCTCTACATACTCCTCCTCATCACACATACATTGCGGAGCTTCTTCCTGGTTGTCCAATGCGTCTTCACTAGCTGCATGGTCTGCCTTGCCTTCCTGGACCCGGTCAGGTGTGCTCCTGTCCTCCTGGACCCGGTCAGGTGTGCTCCTGTCCTCCTGGACCTGGTCAGGTGTGCTCCTGTCCCCCTGGACCCGGTCAGGTGTGCTCCTGTCCCCCTGGACCCGGTCTAGACTGGACTCACCCCGATGAAGGACAGCCAGTGGTTGCACAGCTTGCTGTAGAAGGACGCGGACAGACTCTGGATCTCGACCTCGGGGACCTTCTGCTTCGGGCCGGGATCTGCAGGAGGCAAACATCAGTCAATGGAGAGACTTTGAGGTTCGGAGGACGTCTGTCCCGGGCCAAGGACTAGAGACAAACCCCAATCATCACCGAGACAAATGGAACCCCAGACTCAGCAGACCCGCTCCATCAGAACAATATGGGACTTGCCAGATCCCCCAAGAACAGATCTATGAAATAAGAATTGTACTGGACTTCAGCCTTCCTGGTTCAGAACCTCCAGTGAAGGTCCATAGTGCGGAATGTGGACTGGAAATATCTTATGGTTGGTCTACTGCCATCTGCTCATCATACTGGTGACCAGTCTCTTCCTGCACCTGGAAAACACTGGAGTACTGCAGATTCCGAATGATGAGGACATTACCGGCTCCTGTTTGGGTTCCTACGAACACTTGATGGACCCCCTTGCACCATCTGTGTGTACAAACCTCCATGCAGCTCCTCCCTGTGCTCCATCTACTTACCATCTCTCTCCTCGGCTCCTGGCTGATGGACCTCTGTGAAGAGCTGCTCCTGATCTCCGGTCCCCTCTACATACTCCTCCTCATCACACATACATTGCGGAGCTTCTTCCTGGTTGTCCAATGCGTCTTCACTAGCTGCATGGTCTGCCTTGCCTTCCTGGACCCGGTCAGGTGTGCTCCTGTCCTCCTGGACCCGGTCAGGTGTGCTCCTGTCCTCCTGGACCTGGTCAGGTGTGCTCCTGTCCCCCTGGACCCGGTCAGGTGTGCTCCTGTCCCCCTGGACCCGGTCAGGTGTGCTCCTGTCCCCCTGGACCCGGTCAGGTGTGCTCCCGCACTCTTTAGCTGCATTGTCTATACCCCCATAATCTGGGTCATCTGCCGTTGTGTCCACCGTCCTGTTCTCCTGATCATCAACTGTCCTGTCAGCAGTTGGGCCCTCAGGGTTCTGCTTTAAGTCCAGTTGGAAACTGTCTTGCAAGGTCTGCTTGGCCGGTTTCCTGGGATTCTTAAGGTTCATGAACCTCTTCTTATCTGGAGTCTTTGTGTGGTCGGTGGTCTGGGTATGCCCCTCCTTGAAGAGCTGGTCCATGTCCCGTGTGAACTCCAGCAAGGTCCCATTTGACCCGTAATTGGTGGACTTGTCAAGGATCAGAGGTCGGGAGGCGCTGGGGGTCTTGGAAGTGGCTTGATTGACCTTCCTGTAGCAGCGCTGGAGATTGTAGCTCATGGTCACCGAGAAGTAGGAGTAATCCACCACGCTGTAGGTCAGCATGAAATTGATGGTAACAATTGGTGCCAAGATGTTGACTTGGCCAATGAAGACGAAGGCCATCGTGATGAGGCCAGTCAGAAAGATGGCTGCCACTGGGGTCTTGTTAGGTCCTCTCTGCATGGAAGAGAAATAAATATGATTTTATTCTGGGTTCAGTCCCCCAGAACAGTATACACAGGACATATACAAGCCCAATTCCTGCACCTTCACCCCTCAGATCACCCCAATTCCTGCACCTTCACCCCTCAGATCACCCCAATTCCTGCACCTTCACCCCTCAGATCACCCCAATTCCTGCACCTTCACCCCTCAGATCACCCCAATTCCTGCACCTT